GATAATATCATATTGATTGTAGGATGACACCTGTCATGAAGTTATTATAAATAGAGCTCATGTAATTAGTTTAAGTCAGAAGAGTAGAGATAGAGAATAGAATGAAGAGAAAGTAGAATAAAGATCCCGTAGCTCGTACCGAGAGCGGTCCATCCCATAACAATTTCATCATTGCTTTCTTGAAACTTTCTTCATTGATAATTTAAAATATTATTTTCCTGCGACTGAGGCACTGACAGAAATAATCGAATCTTTTCTAACTAATACTGCAGTTTAAAGTTTGTTAAAGTTTAAACTACTTCAGCAGCTACACACACTTAATTCAGTCAGCTTTCTTTAATAATAACTAGAATTTCCCGTAATTTCTAAACTATATATCTATATCTTACTCTTTTGTAACTACCTTTATGTACTTGTTTGTGTGTGAATAATTTGAACTTGAACTTGTAGGTCTAATGTAAGAAGTTTTGAAAGCTTGAAAACTTAGAAAAGAAACTTAAAGAAAAAAATAAACCCCCTCACTGTTCTGGCTAACAAAGCCGGAAGCGAACACCCCCTAACAAAAGAATACGAATAAGTTGATAATCGAATCGAATTCGACTGAAAAGGGATGTTTACTGTCATACTTTCCTTCGTAGCAGTTCACCCTTTTTACCGTAAAAACACGCGAACAAGGTAAACATGAAAAGCTGTCAAAAATAAGTCATATTTCACTGAAAAAATAAATTGGTCGTCCCCATCTTACACAGAAGACTAGAAAATAACCAAATAACTAGTTAGCATTTGAAATTTGTGTTAAAAATGAGAAATATAAAATGTTATTATGCTGTAAGTGTGGACTTGAAGTCATCGCGTTACGTGAAATTCTATTGCAGTTATACACAAGATATGTAATTTCGATTTGGTCCCATCGTCAGATTTTAAAAATCTTTTCTCTAAAGTAAGGTATTACCGAGTACTTTCAAAAAACGAAATAAAAAAGGGGGGGTGCCCGACTTTGTTTTAGAGCTATAAGAGATCAAAGACGTTTTCATGATATTTTGCTTATCAACATTAGAATGACGTCTTCACGATGAGCGCGCGCTCACTTAATTTATGCGTAGAAAGGATGCGCGCGAACAATGCACATGAACGTCGTTTCCTACGCTTCTCTCCTTTTCTTTTCAGCATCCCGCGTTTTTAGATCAGAGCATCTAAAACCTAAAACCGTTTACTAGTAATCTTGTTTATTTTACTTCTAGTTTCTTGTCAGGCGAAAATGAAAGACCAAATCCACGTGATCATCACTCTGTTATCATGCATCACTCACGTGATCAGTGAGTTCCAATGTCAAGGCACCTGCTATTCGGTATCTTTCCCAAAGAACAATCAAGTCATCAGGGGAAAATATCTCAGAGGATACTCCTACAAGAACATTACCACTGATGTTCCACGCACGTGCTTCTCGTCCTGTATCAATGACTGTCGTTGTAAGGCGTTCCAGATGAAAGATGTCAGGTGTGAGTTGCTGGATGAGGACAAGGCTTCCAAGGCAGAAGGCTTTGTAGATGAGACAGGATACGTGTACTATGATCTACTGCAGACATCCTATAAAGAGGTGGGTTTTAACTTTTTTGTTCAATAAAAAACTTCATAAGTCTGTGAGTGAGTTACCGATTGGCCTGATGTATCATGCATTCATTGCAGAAATCTCTTGCGGGTGTATGTTATAATTGGTTGCTGTAGAAATCAGCCTTGTATGAACKGAGGAACCTGTGTAGAACATTGYGAGAAMCCAAWARTCAAGTTCAGCTGCAAGTGTCCTAATACCCACTCTGGAAAAGTCTGTGAGAAAAAGATTGAGTCTTGTATTGATGTGTTGAAAGKAACTGCACCAGGTTYCATGCCAGCAAATGGTACCTACATTATCACCCGTAATGATACCAAGACTACCGTACCCGTCTATTGTGCTTTTGARAGTCCAAACCAGCCYTGGACTCTCATCGAGTCATTTGCTCTTGCTAACAATGAGCATTACCAGAAAAAAGCCTTTTTTCAGGATGTTCCCAGAAATMATCTCAAACCAAGCTGGGACGACTACCGTCTGTCGTTGAGCGATATGCAGTACTTACAAAACAAAGCCTCCCAGTTTAGAGCCACGTGTGACTATGAAAAAAGCCGATCATCTCTGATCCCTGATCTTCTAATTGGTTACAAAAGAGATCTTGACATCATTTTCTATGAGGGKAGTGGATCTTGTTTCAATTTTTCTTACATTAATCTGAGAGGAAATGAGTTTTCTTCGACCAAAGCACCAGTATATCAAAAAAGGGATAAGTTGCATTTACATCTGGACGTCTCTCGTGGTTTATGTGGATTTACTGTGCCTGGCACAATATCTAGCGAGGACCTCTTCAGAGTATATAGTAAGGTAAACCCCATCTCGAAATGCACTGCAACACCACAGTCTACCACACAGTGGTGGTTAGGACAACAGCAATAGGGTAATTTTGGAAATTCACTTAATTTCACTTCATTATAGGATGATAACAGTCTGATAATTTTTGATAAAAGAATAGATCAATTAGTGCGAAAGCGYTAGACAAAGCACGAAGAGCTTGACGTTATGACGTCACGGAGGATTCCGCTGAGGTATTGCTGGCTCACAAGATRCACATAGAGRTSAACTAGACGCGCATTWAAAAATTTTGGAGATTTTCCCTGTWAAGTGCATTTTCAAGTTTATTTCCATTTGATGTAGTTTGTTCTCAAAATGGGTCATTTTGGAGACTCAGTCGTCTTAAAGGGGCCTGTCATTCTAGCATGGTCGCACGAATTTGGGGACATTTTTCCGACTGCCAATACTATTACATTCAATATTGTGCACAYAACGCTCAACTCACATGTCGATTTTTACACGGAGGGAGGAAACCGGAGAAAACCCTTGTAGCATAGGAGAGAACAATACATTAAAAGAATTCAATWCACATATCGTGCCCATAGTGTTCGAGCACAGTTTGGACTGAACTACGATGGTGAAAGACAACGAGTTAGCAGTACACACTACCCCTGCTTCCATGTGATATAGCTGAACCCTCAGTCAATTTGCTTGTATGCAATTATTTACGTGTTTAGATTCCTYCTAACTCCGCGCCCCATACTTCAGTTGTTCTCTGATCCACCCTTGGCCATGGTATTTATATTTTTTCTTCAATTGTTGTAAATATATTTACGACAATTGGTAAAATGAATTCCTTTCTTCGTTTGCATTCCTTAATTCTTCCTTCTTCTKTCCAAATGTCCGTTTTTTCCTTCCTTCCATTATATTCCTCGCATTATATTCCTGGTTTTCAATCATTCATCAGCCATATTGGTTTGTATGACAAACCTCTAGAGGAATGAACAGCTATAAGCTCTCGGGATACCATCATTATTCCTTTCGTATCTTTTGGGATACTCATGAATTTTTGAAAGACCAATTAAACAAAAGAAAATGGAGTTTTGTCACTGAATTGGGAAAACATTGTTACGCCACGAATAAGGTATATTCATTGACAGTGGCCCATATAGGACGTTTCAAGTGGCGATGGCGTCATTGACCTCTACTACCAGACTCCCTTGCGCACTTTCTTTTGTTCAGTTAATTAGCACAAATTGTCTTACTATTCTCTTGTTATTCTCATGAGGGAATACAACTTTAAATAAGAAAGAAAATTCGCAAAGCATTTTGCTATAGGTTGCTATCAATAGACGTCACTTCCGGTAATAGCTCTTTTTTGATGGCTTGTAGAATCCTGGAGGTTGTTTTGATCTCTTRTYYTYTKGTTTGATGTMGTGAAAATAGTCAAATACAATAGTTTGAGGACTTATTTTGATATGTTTTGACTTAGCATCCGCTAGTTGCCCCCCAGTCAACCGCTTGTTTGCCCCCCAGTCAACTCCAAAAAGTCACGTGATTGATAGCAATTGGGAGTCAAAAAGCGGCTATGACGTCATGTACAAACGAAGAATTGTAATCTGTCTTTGAGGAGAGTGAAGCTTCCAAAAGAGATTACTAATCGCTCAAATAAAGGGATACAAACGATTTTAAAATTAGGTTCAAAACCGGCACTTTTTGCTAATAGACCACTTGTAGCTCAGCCAATCAGAGTGCAGAAGTTGTGATAGACCATAAGTAGGTTTAGACTAATACTGGCAGTATGCCTTCAAATAAATAAATCATTCAAATTATAATTGATACTCTGAAACAGCCTCTGAGAATAACGAATGGTGTTGGTGTTGCAAGGCACATGAGACATGAAGACAATACCTAAGGGCAGGGGTAATCGTCGTATCTTTTAGGGATTGAAATCAAAAGTCGCTCCCCCTCTCAGGGGTGCAATAGGAGAAGCTGTTTACTCTTAGCACGTGCGGTATCTTCAAGGGGTACGCGATTGGTGGCCCCAAACATTAAACCGGATTGTCAGTTATCAGTTAATATAAACTCAAGGATTTTAATTTTAAATGATTTATCTTGTGTTTCAAAGTGGCATCTTTATAGGGCTAAAAGTTAAGCAAGATATCGAGTAGATACCGTACCCCTCCCCCTTAGGTCAAGAATCACCATGCAGTGCTCAGTCTCACACGATCAGCTTCAAGGACTGGTCGCTCAGCTTAAACGTGTTTTCAAAATGGCGGACAAAAAGAAGAGGTTTTCACTCGAAGGAAGAAAAAAAGTGAAAAAAACAAGACGAATAAGCCTAAAAGCCTCCTGGAATAKTGAGCAAAAAGAAATGAAAGAGCTAGAAGAACGGCGCCATGAGGTAACGTGTTATTTTTGGGGAAAGTTGGACAGAAATGTCAACCTTGTTTACACGTGACTGCTAACTTTTGATAAACTTGTGGAAATTTGTTAATTTTTCATACTAAAATCCAGTTTTATATATTATTATTTGCAGTATTTATAGTTAAAATTGTTTATTACAGTTRATATACAGCTTTAATCGTTTCCCTATCAGCTTTTTATGTCATTTGGAAAGAATATAAGAGTATCAAAATAATGTTTTTTGCAGATCGATGTCGCTTTAGTGTCCAAATTTTCAGACTTTCCAATTTCCAAACGGACAATAGAAGGTAATGTGGTTATCAGGGAAAATATATTTATCAGCTTGGGTGTCAGTTAGGTGTAGGCCTTGGTTTTACTAGTATCTCTGGCAGCCGCTACTGTGTGACACTGGTACTAGCGGCTGAGAGGGAGACTATGGTTCAGTATGTTTGAGTACAAGCATTAG